CCAAAATGTTTGTGAAAGATATCACAATCTATAACTAAGTCGGGCTTCAATTAAATCATTAAACAACGCTTTATCTGCTTTCTAGCTCTTCAGTATCCTGAAAAATCAGAAGGGGTATATACGATCTGATGTTGTGGCGCTTCTGTGAGTACTTTCTCTTTTCTGCCACTGTACAAACACATTATGCTACAGGTTAAAAAATATGTTCTTTCTATTTTCATGCTTCTCCATAATCCTTTAGACCTGGAAGTATCCAAGCATCTGTGAATAATATCTTTGAAAAAGACAGCACCGGCATCAATGAAGATTCTGTCAAAAACGCCATTGAAAAAGCTATCAGCAACGCACAGAGCTCCAATGGATTTTTTCGTAATGTGACATTCGAAGGTCAGTAATGCTGCTGGGACACTAACCAAGAAAAGGGAAGTGTAGGTGTATTTTGGTGGGGAACCTTACATCAGGATGCATGTTATTCTACATTATTTCAAGAGGATTTTTCCTAATACGTGTGTTTTGTATTTGCCCTGTCTTAGGCAAAGACCTATGTCAACAGATTCCACTTCCATGTGAAGGCTCCACTGCAAAGTGCACGATTAAAAACAACCAGCCTTCTTGTTACTGTCTTCCTGAATTTATCTCCAACGTGTACTCAAACACCAGCTGCAGAGGTAAAAAGACTCATAGAAAGACCAAATATTCTTTATTTATCTCTTTTACCAAGAATAGTAATGCTTGAGTGTTTTTTTGCAGTGGGTTTTACTTTTGAAAAATCTTTATTGTGCTCTGTAACTTCGAGACTATAAGAGCAGACGACCCCACAGCAGCTGAGAAAAGGCCTGAGGAGAAAAAAAATCTCAGCTGAGCTACAGTCAAGAGAACTGTAACAAAACCTTCTTATCCTTACTAAAATACTTGTGTGTGAGAATGAGGGGGAGAAACAACAGGGAGGGAGAGTCCGAGACAAGGTCAAGAGCTGTTGCCTTTTCTCCGAGCCGCCCCTTGACCTGTTGTTCATTTATCTCTTTAATTTATTTCTTTTTAACGGGGATGTTACCCGGGAAACACGTGGAGGAATCACAGATTTCTCCCTGTGTGGACGGTTGTGACCAAGGAGATCAGCTATAGGAAGAACCTTTTAAAAAAATAGGACCTTTAGTTTTAGATTTGCCGCATGCAGTTCCTCTCACAGACAGAAATTGAATAAGCTATTATGTGCTTGTTTGAAAAGGTCGTTGTTTAGCCTCCATATGAAGGGGCCATAATTGTGCTCATGTTTTTCATTGTATGTGTAACCAGGCATACTGTACTTGCCTGCCTCTGTGTGCGGGACATTGTTGGCGTATGTTTACACCTATTGTTTCATTTTCCAGCTTGTCCAAGTGGGGAGAGGGCAGTGAACAACAATTGTGAACAGTGAGTACAAACAATATAAATCTGGTTTACAAGGTAAATTATGCATGTCGACCTCAAGGAATCTGTGGAGTCAGTTATAAACTCTATTTACATGCTACAGTACAGACATGCACATTTTATATATAAATGTTACACTGGTCTGATCTTTTTTTTTTCAGATGCCCATTTGGATACGCTGGCTTTAACTGCAGGGACTGTGAGTAACAACACAAAGTTTATGTAGCAGCAGTCATAGAAAATAGGCTCCAGCCTAAATCCATAATACATCCTAAATTGTGTCTCCACAGCTTCTCTGCTGGCAGTAGTGGTCATCTCTTGTGTACTCGGAGGAATTCTTCTCATCATGGTCCTGGCTTTGCTCTGCTGGTGAGAATATTAAATGATTAAATGATCAACCTCAGGAGACATCACAACAAAAGTTAGTGTTTGTCATTCTCTGCTCATAAAGAAGAGTTTAAAACCACAACCCTCACTCAGGAGCAAAAATCAGTCTTTAGACTAAAAAGAAATAATAATGTGGCACGCATCATTAATATCAACTGATATGAAATTTTTTATTTTGAAATCATTTTTGGCCATATCACCCAGCCCCAGTAACAGTTACAGTATTTGTAACATAGAATCCCCAAAAAACTCAATTATGTTGGTTTTAACAAGGTTTAACCCAGTTTTAATTTCAATGTATTCTTACCTGCAAATCACCAAATGAATACTAAAATATAAATTTATCCTCAGAAAAGACTAAATATAACATTGTATTAGTTCATCTTCTAGCACTTTCTGAGTTTGCTACACTGTCTCTGAGACTCAGCCTCATTTACTGTTAAGATACAAATCTTTAGAAACAGGACACAAAAATATATTCACAATCTTATATCAGTCATTTATTATCAGTTTTTAGCAAATGTTACAGAAACAGGAGTAAATAGTACATTTGTTGGGTACTATTTTTAGCGGTGAATTTATACACATTTGGTTCTGTTTGTGAGAATAAGCACAGTGAATGTGGGAATGGGTTCAATAAAATTACACTGAACATGTAACACATTAAAACAGTTTTATTAATGAACTTTAACTGAGTTTATTGAACTTTAACTGAGTTTTATATTAAACTCTGTGTTGTACCTCAGGAGGATATTCTCGAATAACAAACCAGACTACAGCAGTAGTCCATACGCATCCGGTGACTCAAACAAGCCCTGGCCTGTTGGCATCACACCCATCCCGCGTGCCAGCACTAACTGGGATGAAGCTCCTACTATAGAGATGACAGAAGGGCGCCGCACTGGAGCCTTGGTGGACAATAATCATCAAACCAACGGACTGGTGAGTTATAACTGATGTTCTTTTGTCGTCTGAATTGTCATTAGTGACTTACACCTAATCATCAGACTCACACTTGCATATTGTTGATGTAAAATCAGCCCTTTATGTGTTAAATGCTCCACCGCCGTCTTGCATCCAGATTTCACCTTAAATCCACACTGTAATCTCAGAATTAATCATTTGGGTAAAAATACAACTGGACCCAGGTTAAAATCTGGCTGAATGAGGTTGAAAAGTGGGTTTTCAGCATACATGTATAAAATGTATGTATAACCATCATTTTATTTCAATGACTACATTTCAGTGTGTAAATAGGACCTGCCATACCCTGAAATGCAGTCTTTTAATGGTATTTATCGAGGAAGGTCCCATTGAGATAGAGTATCTTTTCTGATGGGCTACAAATTAAATATTTTTTTATATGGATAAAAATCAGAGACAGATAATGAATAAATCATAGCGATCAGACAGAATAGAAAAAAATAATTGTCGAAAATAAAAAGTTAAAAGCAATGACATAGTTCTATGAAAACTACTTTTAAAAGATTTTCAAACAAGTTTAGAATAAATGCTAAATACCTTTCTATCAGATTTAGCCTGGTTTTAAAACAAGACACCCAGATGTTTTTTTAACACTTAAAAATCAATCCATGATGACTGTACACATGACCCTCCTACCAACCAATTAGATGCTTAGATCATATGTTTTCAATCAGTTCAACCCTATCATCCGAAATGTAAAAATAGTGCTAGCAAGTAGCTTCCTCCCATTCGCCCTGCTTTGCCTGACTCCCAGTGTGTTACTTTAGGGCTTTCAGCCGAAGCAGACAGGATGGAAGAAGGTAAGGCATGGCTTTGCTTTTAGACTCTAGTTTGCCTTGATGCCCCCATGCTGGTAATTTAGACAGGCCACAGTGAAAATCATGGTGGTGGGGTTTTTGGGTAACAGGAAGCCTTTTGTGATTGTTGTGGAAGTCAGTGTCAAGAAAAAGCTGAAGAAATTCAGCTCATGCTAGTTTGGGGGATGGACATGAATAGTTTCTTTTCACTGCATGTTGATGATTGTCGTTATTGTCCATGTGTACTTGGCTTTTCTTGGTGTTTGTCTGTGAATGTGCACCATCCCAACATGTAAAAGACACTAACTGCTCTTACTGAAATTTCAGTCTGGATCATATGAACTCAACGCGGAAGGAATGAGGACCTTCAAGGGTAAAAATCCGTCCCGTTACTCGTACCTGGTTCAAGGCCACGAGAACCCCTACTTCTTACCTGGCGATGGGAAGAAAAACTGAAAAAATGTCTGTCCAGCTGGGACAGAAATCCCTTAAGTGAGAATGAGTGAGAAACTTTGGATCAAGAAGTGACTGATTTCAAACTGCGGGACGACAGGCACATTTCTCCCTCAGGTTATTTATTCTTTTTTAAACTTGCTTGAAATAATGACAAATCACAAAGAACACTTCTTACCTGGGAAACAGCCACCGAAGAGATTCATTCATAAGGAAGAACAATTTATAAAAAATGAGTATGTGTGCATTATGTATGCTCTTGCTGGTTATAACCAGTAGATGTTGCTGTTGCTTAATATAATGTAGATCATTTGTTCTTTCAGGGTACATTTTTGTGCTTAAAAGAAATCATTGAGTAGTCTTTTAAAATTGAAGCTTAATATATTGCTAATTGCACTAAAGTGTGTTTTAAGTTTACTACCAGTTTTCCTCTGAAATCAACAGTAAATTCGAATGTCGCATTCTGGGCTTTGTAGATATGATGATTATTTTTAAGAAAATTAATCTTGAATGACTAAGGGGCTGGATCCCTTGTTGGGGTTGTATATTTAAATGGATTTATATTGTAGCTGTCTAAAGCTGAGAGCTTTCTGTTTTTATTGAAGCTGCCCTTGCAAAACGTGCCTGTCTTTAATGGTCTGTTGGACAAAAAGGAAGCATTATGCAAAGCCGATTATATAGTCTGCCTCCTGGATGTGCCAATTATCACATGTATCAGTTTCTCTCTCATATATATATATATATATATATATATATATCCTTGTGTGTCTGAGACAGTGCAGTATTTTATAAGTGTGAAAAGTTTTTGTAAACACTCGAATTTGTGTGTGATTGTGTGGAATGGAAATAAATACATATAAATAAAACAGGCTTCTTTCTTATCATTGGTGGGTGTGTGTATATTAGATATCAGATTTGATTGGAGCATTTTACATTTACCTCTGCATGAAGGACATATTTTTCGAAAATTTTCTCATCTTTGTTTATTTACAGTATTTGTCCATCAAAACATAATTAAGACATGTATGTATTTATTTAGCAGGGTCAATGTCAACAAATTGAAATCAATGTCAATGTGCTAGTGGTAGCCAGAAGGTTAATTTACCTCCGCCAAAGAGGTTATGTTTTCCTTTATGTTTGCTTGTATCTTCTTTCTGTTTGTTTATAATAGGATAATGCTAAATCTACTGGACACACTAACTTGAAATTTGGTGGAAGGATGCTGTATAAGTCAGGAAATGACTTTGGGGCAGGTCTGGGATTTTTTTTCACTTCTTTAACATTGCTTGATGGGGCATTTTGCAAAATGTTATGACTGTCAGAGAGTAATTTATGGATCTTGATGTAAAAAAAAACCAGAGGGGATTTAGGGCTTGTGTTAAATTTGGTACAGATCCAAATAAATAATGGATCTAGTCAATTACTGGGTGTCATTGTAGCTCCAATGTGAAATAAGTCATTAAACTAGCAGTAAAGCATGAAAACAAGTGAATCATAATCATAAGACATGACAGCTGAAAATATAAGTACAAAGCTAAAAGGATTAAAGCAAGCAGCATCCACCGAAGGACGCAGCAAACAAATACATTTTAGACATTTGCAGCACATGTGAGAACAACTCTGAAGACAATAATATTCTCATAAATCTTATTATTATACTCTCAGAGTAAGAAGAAGAACACAGTGTGACAACAAACAATAAACAAAGCAAATGACAACAGACAAGGATAGTTTTATAATTATATGCATAGGATAAGAGTTTCTTTGAAAATCATTAAATGCAAAGATCAACATTTAATTTGCTTTTTCACCGCTCAAATTCAAGCTGAATATATTGTAATGTTGCACTTTATGATGCCTGCAGCCACAGAATAGAAGGCTTTTGCACCTGACCGAAATGCCACATGAATCCTGGTGTTAATTGGATTATCCATGTTGACTGGGTATTTTACCCATAAATGCTCCATCTCCCTGCCCAGACTGCCATAATTCATTACCCTGAGTGACAAGGTATTTGAAAGCCACAGAAGTTTTATGACGGCGTTTGTGTAAAACTTGGCTGACAGCACTATCTTTGCTTTATGGTCAAAGAGTCTGCTCCTCACTGGCTCTTCAAAGCTGGGATTTGGTTTGCTGGGAAGCTCAAGCTGGCTTTGCTAGGCCTTAATCTTGGGCACTGGGTCACTGGAACAGACTGACGAGCATACAAGGGGTGAAAATCAAATCTCACGTGTGTGTGTGCACAGTAAACATGTGTCTTTGTGTAGCATCCTGATCCAGTTGCAGGGCTGGATTTAAACTAGTGAGTTAAATAAAAGTCATGATGCAGCCACAGGGACTAAAGAACATGGTCTTTGACTTGTTTGCATTTAGTAAATGTAGAAGCAAATAACCCTGTTTACTACTTATTATTGACTCAGTTTAGTTTAAGGCCCTCCGCCACTCATTCTTATAAGTGCTGGTTTGCTAATGGTAAAGGTAATCTCATAATAGCAAATATGCTTTTTACTTTTACTATTACTTTTTTACTTTTTTTACTTTTACTAATTTTGATGAGATTAATAAAGGATAACAGTAGACTGAGAT